AATAGCACTGATGGTATTGTCTGGTTTGGGTAATGAAACATCTTCAAGAAAACAAGCCAGCTCAGAGAACATCAAGTACTCCTCATTTCAACCCCGAGCTACAAATATTCTCCTTTATTTTAATACCTATAAAATACGTCCATGCTTTTTCCTCATGCTGAGGCATATACCAAAACAAGGGCAGCAGCTGATTTCTGTGCAAGGGGACAAGATTAGAGGCCAAGTTTACATTTGATGAAAATAAGTACGGGATGCTCAAAAGAGCCAGATTTTTCTCAAAGATTGAAGAACTGTCTTTGACTGCTCTTTGAAATCCACCTTCTTCCACAAAGTGCTTTCAAGGTGGATTGAACATTGGTACTCATAATTTACAGCATCAACAACTACAAATTATAGGCTGTAAAATGAAAATGAGATTTTAATCAGTGTGTTGTAATGACGAGGCAGTTGAGTTGTTTGATCATGAACAACTGAATCATGATGATCTTTATTGGAGTCTAGTCTTGCATTTACACACATTTTTAATTATCCTCCATCATTGGTTAACTTTGGTTACTGCTTAACTTTTGTTACTGTTTAGCATAGTAATCCATACAATTAATTATCTCTAGTTAAAGTCTAACATATGTTTACTTCCTCTCTCTAATCCTCCTTTAGATTAGTGACTTTGTTTACCTGAGTTGTATTTGCTTGGAAACATTCTTTATCTGAGGTTTGCCATCCGAGATTGGAACATTCCTGCAATTACAACTCTACACAGTGAAGCAAGAAGACTGTGTGAATAAAATAGGCAGATAGAACTATATGCAAGAGTTGTCAAAAACATTCTGAAATAAAATGCCCTTTTGACGGTATTATACCAAAACATTATCCATTTTATGGACTATTTAGTCAAATCTATGTTTTCGTGCTGCATAAATGCCTCTTTTCTTCACTTCCAGGAATGAAAAATGCAATGAACACTATACCACAGATTTCATATATAATTTGTATTCAGAGGAAGGAAAAGGTGTCTTTGATACCAGAAAGAACGTTTTGGGACATATGCAGCAGGTACATCGGAAAGATCAGACTTGATACTCTCTTGTGAACTCACCTACTGTAATCAGTATGCTTGGGCAGAAAAGCCCCAGTAGCCCACTGAACCCTGTTTCCTTACCTGTCTCAACACCATCACTGCAGTTCTTTCTACCCAAAGATTTTCAAGCTTCAAGCTACTGTCCTCATCACACTTCTATAACTCTAAGGTTTAACCCCTAATTTAATATGATTCTCCTTCTATCTTCACAGGGTGGGTCACCGACTCCATTTGACCGAAACTTCGGAACAAAAATGGGTGCCAAAGCTGTGGCATGGATGTCCGGCAAGATCAAAGAGTGCTCCAGGCATGGTATGTTGGAGCTTTCCATTGGATTGCCTCTTAGATTGGTGGGCAGCCACACCTTTACTGGTAATAAGCAGGATAGGAAAAAAAAAATCAATTACAGTAAGCAAAGGAGTATCTACACCAGAGGTTTGATACGATCTATGATGGCCTTGAATTTTGGGGTCGATTGATCGAAGTCAGTGCTTAAGATCTTTTCGCATATATTCAAAGCCTGACGCAGTACTTAATTTCAGGGTTTGTTTTTTTAATGGAAGATTTTTCTGCTAAATTCCAATGTATCCCTTTATACCAGAGGTCTCCAACCTTGGCAACTTT